GGCAATCTTGATCCACTCCAAAAAGAATCAGCACCATCACAGTTTAGCTATATGTACCACAACGAATTGTGGCAAGTTCTTAAAGAGATGGGAGTACCAGACCATCTTATTTGTCTCCTGAGAAACCTATATGCGGGTCAAGAAGCAACAGTGAGAACTGGACACGGAACCACTGATTCGTTCAAAATTCAGAAAGGAGTTTGGCAAGGCTGTAAGCCTTGCCTATTTAACTTATATGCAGAGCACATCATGAGAAAGGTGGGGCTGGATGAATCACAAGTTGGAGTTAAGATTGCAGGGAGAAATATCAACAACCTCAGATATGCAGATGATACCACTCTCATGGCAGAAAGTGAAGAGGAACTAAAGAGCCTCTTAATGCGGGTGGAGGAGGAGAGCACAAAAGTTGGCTTGAAACTCAACATTAAGAAAACTGAGATCATGGCATCCAATCCTATCACTCCCTGGAAAATAGTTGGGGAAGAAATGGAGGTAGTGACAGATTTTATTTTCCTGGGCTCCAAGATCACCGCAGATGGGGACTGCAACCAAGAAATTAAAAGACACTTGCTCCTTGGGAGGAAAGCTATGGCAAATCTAGACAGCATAGTAAAAAGCAGAGACATCACCCTGCCAACAAAAGTGCGTATAGTCAACGCTATGGTTTTCCCAGTTACAATGTATGGCTGTGAAAGCTGGACCATAAGGAAGGCTGAGTGCCGAAGAATTGAGACCTTTGAATTGTGGTGCCGGAGAAGACTCCCGCAAGTCCCTTGGACTGCAAGGAGATCAAACCAGTCGGTCCTAGAGGAGATCAATCCTGACTGCTCTTTAAAAGGCCAGATACTGAAGATGAAACTCAAATACAGTGGAACCTCGGCTCACGAATGCCTTGGTTCACAACCAAATTGGGTCAGGAACAAAAATTTAATGAAAATTTTGACATGGGTCATGAACTCTGCATTGGGTGGTGACAAAGACTGCAGCCATCTCTCCCCCTCTCCCCAAGTGGGGAGATGGCTGTGATCACAGTTGTGTTCGTGCAGGGAAGACATGCATGATCACGGGTGCACTTCTGCAGGAAAGATGGGCACAATCTCGGCCATCTCCCCCACCCCCCAACCAGCATGATAGCGGACATCTCCCCCCCCCCGAGTGGGGAGATGGCCGCAATCATGCTGGGGGTGGGGGGGGGGGAGATGGCCGAGATCGTGCCCATCTCTCCCTCCCCCAGCGTGCCCCGTTTGCGCCCGTCTCTCCCCTAGAGCGCCCTCGATCATGCCCCTCCCCCCCACGTGCCGGGATGACAGGCACATGCAGGGATGATGGGCATGTGCAGGGATGACAGGTGTGATCTTGTTCGTGCTGGGGGGTGGGGTGGGGAGATGGCCGCTTTTGTGCTCGGGGTGGGGAGGGGGAGATGCCGTGATCTTTGTTGTTCTGTCACTTTACTTCACATTTTTCTGATTAAAAAAAATGGTTACAGAACGGATTAACCTTATATACATTGAACTTTATGGGGAAATTTAACTTGGCTCACAACTAATTTGGGTCACAACCAGAGTCCTGGAACAGATAAAGTTTGTGAGCCAAGGTACCACTGTACTTTGGCCACCTAATGAGAAGGAAGGACTCCCTGGAGAAGAGCCTAATGCTGGGATCAATAGATGGCAAAAGAAGAAGGGGATGGCAGAGGATGAGGTGGCTGGATGGAGTCACTGAAGCAGTCGGTGTGAGCTTAAGTGGACTCCGGGGGATGGTGGAGGACAGGAAGGCCTGGAGGAATGTTGTCCATGGGGTTGTGATGGGTCGGACACGACTTTGCGACTAGCAACAACAATAACATGCACGTGTCTGTAGCTCAAGTCCTATTGCATGCCCCAATTGCATGCTTGGAACAATTGCATGAATGGGTATGACAGGATGTGGGATTGGGCCGGATGATAATTTGATAGCCTTTAGTCTAATAGCTTTCAATCAAATTCCATCATTTCCCAACATTAGATCAAATTCTATTATCTTACCTTTTGCAAGTGCCTTTCCCCACTCAGAACAACACCCTCTTCTCTGACAAGCACATTTAATTTGTGGTATCATTGGTTCCACAGGCACAGATGAATTAGAGATACTCAGGTGCACTCTAAAATTTGACACTCTGTCTTGACTTTTCTATTAGATTCTTAAGAAAAAATTGGTTACAAATTATGTTCTTAGTCTTATTTAAAAACAGAAAAAGTGGATTTCTCAAAATGTCAGAGACAGGCCCACAGTTCAGTGGTAGATCTGTATTGCATGTAGAAGAGCCCAGCTTCAGTTCCTGACATTTCCAGGTCAATGGATCAGATATCCAGTGATGGGGAAGACCTTCCTTCTGTGTGAGGCAGAGTTCACAATAATGGACTAGATGAACTAACAGTCTGTTGAATATAAGCCAATTTTCTCTTTTCCCAAAATTAAACTTACTCAGCTGACAGCCTTGCTTTATTTATTCAAGGTGTAATCCTAGGGGTGTTTGGGGGAAAAAAAGTCCTACAATTCTCAACATGGCTGGTGAGGGGATGTCGGAAGTTGTAGGATTTTCAAAAGCACCTAATGAAACAAATTTCTCTGGGAGTTTTACAATTTAAAACATGATAATAAGGATATACATACATTTTTGTTAGGTTATTATAACAGCCTTTTTATCCTGTTATGATTTTGAAGTGACATTAGTAGGTACATCCATTCCCATGTCTATCTGTACCATCTTTTCCTCCGTAATTATCCTGTTAACCAACAGATGTTTACTTTGCTTAGCCACAACATGCTTGAGGTATAAAATGGTATGTTAGGGTGCTTCCTTGTGAGCAAAGCTGAGAAAGAATTGCAAATTAAACAATTGCAAGCAATTGTCTAACTATCTCCCTGCCCATTCTCTGGTCTGCTGCTTCCCTTCTAGTTAATTAGTAACTCTGGTGTTTGCTAGTAAGACTTCTGGCCTCTTGTCAAGTGGCAGATGCAGGCCCTTTTAGCCAGCAGATCTGCTTGTGAGGAAGCACCAAAGCTTGCATATGATTAGGCAAGATGGAACACTTCCTGATGCCTAGGCTATGTTCTTGTCCAAGAAAACTTATGCCACAATGTATCTGTCTTGGAGATGCCGCAAGAAAAGACTTGAGTCTAGGATCTGAATGCCATATCTCCTGCAATATTTATAACCTCCGGCTTTCAAGTGTTTTTCAAGCAGTTATTATGAAGGTTAAAATAGGAAGCGCAGGCAGGAAAGCCCTCCTCCGTATGATGCTCACATTTGAAAAGATCTGAATAGCTTTCTGCAGTTCCCACAGCTTTCCTCACAATTCCTCTTCAACACACTTTACTTTTACTGACCCAGTAGTGTGTGTATGTATGGATGCAGATGCGTGCATTAGTCATGTGTTTATCACGCTGTTTCTGTGCACCTTACTGCTCACAGATGCACCGGTGCTGGTGTTTGTCTTTCAGAACTGAAGACAGTTTGAGAGAACCTCAATTCAATTTAGCCTGTGCTAAGCAGGATTTAGTATTAGATGCAGGAGGTATGTACAGACTAACACATTTACTCTTTGGAAAGGATTCAACCCATCTTTGACCAGAGGCTATAATGAGATCAAAAGTATGCATGTATTCATGGGCGTGCACATGTGTTGGAGGCACCTCTTTCCAGTCAAGCAGCAGTGAATTCACAGGGCCTGCCCTAAACTTTGGCAGAATGAGGAGACCTTGGGAGTACGAATGCGGGGTGCTGTGGGCCCCTATATTGCTCGTGTATCGTTACTCGCGGAATGAAGCTCGTGAGATAGCCCGCCTCACACAGGTGGTTAAAGAAGTTGGCCAGCTTCAGGTACTATGCATCTTCTGTTCCCCCGCAGGCAGCAAAATGTTTGGAGCAGGACTGTCCCCAGCTTTTGCTAGGTTTGCCTAGGTGTGAACAGCTCACCGCCCCCTTCGAAATGGGTGTTTTCCGTCTGGGTGTCTCCTGGCTACTGTACCTTCTGAACGCCGTGGTCATGTTTCGCAGCAGTGCTGCTTTTCTGAGTGTATTTAAGGGGTGTGTGCGCGTGTGTGTGTGTGTGCACGCGTGCACCCGAAGGGCTCTGTCTGTTTTTTTTAGGCTGTGCAAGCCTCACTCCGCTTGTCTCTCTTCTCCCGCGTTTGTGTGTCAGTGTGCGCGGTATCTCCTCTCTTCGCCTTGTGCACCATTTTCTTTCCTCTTCCTGACAAGCAGAGAAACAGGCAAAGCGGCGCGGCGGATACAGGCACTGCCTCCCGCCTCGTCTCCTCAGATGCCCTTTGCCGCCGCCGCCGCTGCAGGTTTATTATTACAGTATGTGGCTGCTCTCCACAACCTCCTTCCCCCACACCCCGCTCCACTCAAGGTTGGCGCCGCGCCGCGGCTGTGCAGATCCTTGGCTGTGCTTCATACCTGGCATCCCTCCCACCAGCTCTGCTCTTTATTATTTGTCTGGAAAGCAGCAGCAGCAGCAGCAGCAGCAGCAGCAGCAGCAGCAACGGGTAAGGGCGGCGGAGGCGGGGGGAAGAGGCACTTGACCGACGGCTGAGCTCACCAATGGGTGCCCTCCACTTGCCCAGACTTGGGCTCGGACAGAAAGGCGATGTAGCGCCTCGGGCGCAGAGCAATGATGAGGGAGGGAAGCGGGAGGGGGTGAGACCGAAGCAGTGCGAGCCCTCTGCTTCCCCTCCCCCTCCCCGTCCCCGCCATTCCTGCTGCTGGATTTCCAGCATTCCCCAGTCCGTGCCCAGTCATTGGCCGGGTAGTTCTCCGGCTGCTGGACAGGAGAGAGAGCGCGCGCCGGGGTGGGGTGGGGTGGGGGGACGGGGCGGTTACTTTGAGCTACAGATTGTTGCAGACTAAGCAGTCTGGCTCTGCAGCAGCAAAAGGGAAGGGGGAGGGCGTGTGTGTGCGCGCGCGAGGAGGGGAGAGGGGAGAGCTTGGCACCAAGCCAGGTACCATCAGAATTAGCTCATTGTTCAATATAACTAGCACAGGCAACCAAAGCCTGGAGAGAGAGGGGGAGAGAGAGAGATTCTCCACTTGCTGCCACCACCACCCCTTCTCTGTATCCCCCCACCCCTTTTTGAGGCTGCACTCTTGAAAGAGTTGCAGCTATTCCTCCCCACACCCCCTCAACCAGCCCACTCTCCCCCTTCTCTCTCTCTCTCTCCCCCTCTCTCTCCCCCACCTCTATAAATTCTCTTCTGTAGCATGCTGCCCTTTTAAAATCCACATTTGTGTTCCAGATCATGTAGCAAAGACAGAAAGTGAGAAGGGAGCAGGGGCTTTTGTCTGTAAGTATATACATTTTACCCCCAATGCACAGCCTTTTAAGAAGATTTCTTCCCTGCTCTTTGTTTCCTTTCCTTTTCAGGGTTTTCCCCTCCCTTTCTTTTTCTTCTCTTTACTTGGACTCTGCCGTAGCAGAGACGCTGGGATTTTTCCTCCCTTTCATTCTTCTCGCTTGCTTCATGTTTCCAAAGAAGGCTGTGTGAAGGAGAAAGTGCAGGAGAAATATGCAGACTTAACTCTTTGTCTTTCTGTGCAAAGGGAGGATTTTGAAGCTTGGAATATTAATGGTTGCCTTGCCTTGTGTGTATTTTTAGAAACATTCTTCCTGCAACAGTCTTGTACAAATTTACATGTGCAGTAATTAAGTCAAGAATGGATTTTATTTTTTAAATTATGCATTTTTGCACATTTCAAGATCTATATTTGGATGAAATGCGGTTTGCACTGTGAGATTAAAAATTATACATTTTTTTTAAAGTACAACCTTTCATGCGTTAGCTAAAATTAATTTTAGTTCTGCAATGTTTTGCTTAATAAAACTGCATAGGTTAAATGGAAGCTTCAGACTGTAAATTTTTTAAGGGGGAGGAAATTAAAGCTTTGAGGAAATTGAAGCTGTGCTTTGAAAACAGCAAATGAGGTGGTTCTTTTTGCAAGAAATTTAATTGAACTTTGAGGCAAAATTTTGTTAAAGTTAATGCTCATTTCTTAGAGAAGAGGTGTGAGCTTGTATTTTGTGCTTGAGAGAGCTAGAGGTTATGTAATGCAGTGCCATTTCCAAAAATATCCACTCTCTGGGCTATTACGTTGTGAAAGTGTGACTGTAATACTGCTGTCTTCAATGAGGAGGAAAAAAACAGCTGGTAGTATGTCTGAGAACAATGGACAAGCTATGCAGTTGGCACAGAATGCACTATTTTTGCCTTGTCTGATTTTCAAAGTGGGTTAAGCATTAGGTATAGTGCACTTCAAAGAGCTAAGAATAGCATGGACATTTTGCAGATCTAGGTACTGGGGATTCCTTTGTCCTATATTTAAGATTATAGACCATTGAAGTGCAAAGAAAGATGACAGATAAAGCTCATGTGAGTAGATGGGTTCACAAATATTCACCATATAAAGAATTTGCTTGATTTAACTATTTGGCAAATTGCCCTTCATATTTTGTGACATGGTTTGATTTTTTTCTTTTCTTTTTTAATTTTTAATCCTTTGCAGAGTATTTTCTTCGTGCTGCCAGAGAAAACAGTGCAGTCCTAAGTCTTAATAGAATCTGAGAATGGTAAGAATTAAGTGTTTTAGCAAATTAATTCCAATAAAAAAAATAATTTGACATGCTTATTTCAACACATATTCATGAGCATTATCTTTAAAATGCATCCTTAGGGATTTGCGGGCTCTGCCATACAAGAAATAATGCACTTGAAAAGTCCTTGTGATTTAGATTTTCCATTTTCAGGCATTTTGGTATTTCAGAAACACCAAAAACTCTGTTCCTGACTTAAGGTTCACTTAGAACAAGAGGAATTCTTTATAAACATGCAAAGATTAAAACAAAAAACTAGGGCAATATATCCTTTACTATACTTCCTAAAAGTCACTCTAGTTGGCTGAAAAGATATTTATTATTGTATATCAAATGTTTTTGCTGCATATGATTGAATTAATGGCTTAATCTTTGTAAACTTTTATTTTACCCCATGAAGCAAATGACCTCTTCATGGTGTCTGCAGTCACCAAGTAGAAGCTTAGCAATTAGAAAGTGATGTTAGTGTTTTTCTCCTCTTGAGTATCGTTTATGTGATTAGTATTTTATATATTTCTTTCTCACAGAATAATAGCTTCTAACTACCATCTCAGATGGCAGGATTCTAAGCAGGAAATGGGGTGGGGTTTTGTGTGGTCCAGCAATTAATACTATATTTACTAACCAATGGAATGGAAGTAGGCTATTAAGTAGTGAAAGGAAATTGGAGTATGGTTTGATGGGCTATTGCAAAAACTGGAAGTCATAAAAAGTGACTCTTTTGCTGTATTCTAATGAGATTTTGCCCCACAAACTCATTCATTGTTACAGGAAGAAACAGTTAAATTACAGCAGCCTGTCTGGTCAAGTAGAGTTACACTGTATTTATATTGTTACAAAATTTGATCTAAAAAGCAATTAGAATAAATTTTGGGAAGAGTTGTGATAGGTTTTTTACATATGGGAAAACAACAACAACACTGCAAAGTTATGCATACTTAATTCTTTTGTTAGCTACTTTTTATATATTATATTTGAATGTATTTTTATTGTGATTTGTGTATTTAGCTGTATTTTGGAAATGAATCTGTGTTCACTTTGTTGTAAACTTCACAAGTTCAGAAGAGCAAAATATAAATAATAAATAACTTGCTTCCCATTGAACATATAGGCCTTGATTCTGACTAAATATGTATTGGCTTTCACTATGAAACAGATGTATTGCGAACTAAAAAAACATGGTACTTTCTCTAAATCATAATAAACAGATTTGAACAATCAGATAAGGTACCGTGGCATATTTAGGTCATGGTGGGCTACAGTACCTACTGACATGTGCAGGTACCATTTTGAATATTCAAGGAGCAGCTGCTGCATGTGCATGTGAGCCCCGGCTCCAGGGGTTGTGCAAAGGTTAAACAACCCTTGAATAGCCCATGGCCTGTTCTAGAGTTAACTCTTGCACAGCCCCTGCAAGTTTGAATGATAGGACAATTCACAGCTTGAATATTAAAAAAGCACATGTATCACAGTCCACTTTGTGGTTTCACCAAGCCACAGCAGGCTGGTGTGATTGTATGAACTCTAGGGCTGAATTCAGATACATCCATACTTTGTATTGCACCTATGAAAATTAACTTATATCCCTTTGATTTCAGTGGGCCCACTCTAACTATCTGAACTGGGATTCAACCTAATGAATAGTATTTTCCAGAAAGTTTTGTAAATACTTTTTCCATGATATATGAAGTTTTTCATGTTTATTAAAGAAATAATTGTGATAAAGAACTGGAAACAGATGATCAAGAAGTCTGTGAATACTGTTTACTTTAAAAACTATTCAGTGTATACCGTTGGCAATTATTCATTTCATCATATGCTTTCTGATTTAACTAAAACAAAAAAGAACAACTTACATTCTATAGTAAGGAAGATTAACTCTCAAGTAGCAAAGAATCAGTTATAAATGTCAGTTGAACCACATATGTAACCACAGCTGTGCATCTGTCATCTTAACTGAGGACACAGAAGAGTTATCTTGTGTACTGTCTGATGCTAGACGGCGTTCTCAAAGCTGTAATTTGTCATGCAATGTTCCCTCTAAAATCAACCAGTCAATCTTACTTCCTTGTCCTAAGCATATTACTTGGAAGTAAAGCCTTCTGAATATACTAGAATTTGATTTCAGTCAAGGTGCAGTGCAACCCTATGCATTTCTCCTAAGATCCATTGAGATCAATGGTAGTTACTTCCAGGTAAGTGTATGTAAGATTTCAGCATAAATCTGTTTAGGATTGCAGATTACATAATCACAAATGGGTTCTATGCTACTATTAAATATCTTAAACACAAGCCTTTGTTCATACAATCTGTTATTCTATATCACAGACACACCCATTTATCACTGCATACAAATGTTCAGTGAGATTCCAAGGCCTTGCAGCTCCCGAGTCTCTTCCAGTTGTAGCACTGCATAGCACCTGATAAACTAACCTGGTGCCCTCCAGGTGTACTGCAACTCCCATAACTGACTGTAGGCCTGCACATCTTCAGGGTACCAGGTTGGGGAAGACTGTATAAGCCATTCCTGAAGTGTGTGATACTCTGGGAGCAACCTCCAATACAGAGGGCTGAAATCTGATTTGAAGCCGTGTGTGTGTGTGGTGGGGAAAGTCATATGCAGGTGGAAGTGACTGCATACCTAAGGAGCTTATTATATCCTTGTCCTACTTTTTCAAGTCAAGTTCATAAAATATTCTGATTCTACTTGGCAGAGGCATTAGTATCTTTAACCAACGTCAGGCTTTATTGAGGGACTTGATCCTGAAATGTTGGGCTGACTGTATTATATTTGCCTTGGAACAGGTATTTCTATGCTACTCTGTGCCCTAGACCTCACCTTTGATCTGAATCTTGCCCTCGAATGTCATACTGGCTCTGTCCCAGCCCTTAGGTCCTGGCTTTAACCCTCTTCTCCAATTACTCAGCTCTACTTTGCCCTGTACTTTGGCTGTACTCCCTGGCTTTATACCCTCAGACACAGGCATTTGTCTGGCTAGTAGTCTTTGATTATACCTTGTGCCCTAACTCTGCTTCTCAAAAAATTTTGTGCAGCCTGGTCATTCTCATGGTTCTTGGGCCTTCATAGGACTGCTCTCAAAGGGGCCTACTATTGTGGGGATAGGGATGGGGATCTATGTCATCTAGCATCCCTCTGTCTTCACAGTGTTGCCTGCCTTATTTTGAAGTTAAATGTGTAGTCAGTGTAAATTTAAGTGCTGAGGCATACCACTGTCTGTTGAGAAGGTTTAGTGTTCCTTATAGGCTGGGGAACAAGATGATGAGAATTGCTAATTTACTCCATTTCCTGGATGTCACATGACTTCTGTGTGCCATCTCTACTGAACCTTTTTGTTTTGTGAGGCATACTGTGGAAATGGCAGGGTAAAGCCAGGTGAGGAAATCTGCCTAGAGCAAGGAGGAAGCATTCAAAACCTTGCAGAATATGGCATATTCTTTTGAGGCTGCTTCTTGTTTTCTGTTTTGGGGTCTGTGTGAGTGTGGGGTGGGGATTCTGCTCATAGACCAAAATAGGATCCTTAACCCTTGATCAGTTTGGATGGTAGAGGAAACCAAACCCAATTCAGTCCTTCAGTATTATCAGTGCATGTTTGATGGGTATTCCTGTTTGCTCTGTTTTTGCCTTTGCACAAGGGTTATTGTTTTAGAGCCATTATAAAAGAACCAAACCAACAGCATCCTTTTGGTTATTCATTTTATTCTTCTTCATGGATCACAGAACACTACACATTACATTCAGTACCATACTTACAGATGATAATTTGTTGGAATTAACATCTATGAAATCTGAAAGGGCTATATTAGTCTTATTTATTTATTAGATTTATATCTCACCTTTTTAAAGAACTCAGAGCAGCTTACATCATTCTCCTCCTGTTCTCTGTCTTATCCCCACAATGACAACCTTGCAGGGTAGGTTGGACTGACAGTCAGTGACTGACCTAAAGTCACCCAGTTGGCTCCATAGTTGAGCAGGGTGTAGAACCATCCCATGCTGTTAACCACTACACCACACTGGCTCTCTTTATGAACACATGAAGTGGCCTTATACTCTGTTATTGGAACATCCAGCCTGATACTGGCTGTTTTGACTGGCAGGAAGTCTCTAAAACTTTTTTTGCCACTCTCAGCTAATCTTAACTCTGTACTAGTGATTACTATTTGCTAAGCTATCACATGAGCTGCCCCTTCCTTTAAGCTCAATATTTGTGTAGATACATAGAATGAGCCGTTTCATTTACCAATTTCAGGTATTCTAGAATTGGGGTAGCTTTGCCCCTCAAGTCCCCCCTCCACTCTTGTATTATCTGCTATTGCTTGGATGAGCTATTTTTATGTTTTAAATAGACGTCAAAACGCTGTGGAATATGCACTCAAATCTTCTTGTTGCAGAGTAAAAATGCTACCATGTCATAATCACTTTAGCTATAACAAGTATATCAAGAAGTTTTGTATGGTATCTTAGCTCTGCTTACAGAGTCAATGTACATTGACAGTGGCTGCTGTTGTGGATATGGAGTACTTTAGGTAAGGGCACAGAAACTGATGTACCATAGCCTAACCCGCATGGTGTATCTTGTGAAGAAAATCACCAATGGAAATTGCTATGTCCTGCAAACCTGCACACATATACTTTGAAAATAGTAACAGTCAAATTATTGGGAAAATTTAGATTGCAGTCTAAAATATTTTGAGGGGCTCACTAATAAAGAAGTTAATTGCCTCTAGAAGCCAGCATGTTCAGTCATTCCAGAAGAAAGTGGCATGGTAGGAAGGCTTGTTGAATGAATCTAATTGATGTCTATAGCATGAGGAGGGGATGTAGGAGCAAGGAAGATGTTATAATTAATGGAGGTGGGACGAACTCTGTCCCACTGAAGTGTTTCGTGATCAAGTCATCAGAACAAGGGAACAAAGAAAAGTTATAGAAGAATACCAATGCAAAATGCAGACCC